ATACTATGATATATTTGCATTATAGACTCACATTGCAAATTTAATCCAATACTTGTATACATTCTTTCTAGTGTCTATTTTCAAATCACTTTCTACGATCCGGTCCTTATAGGTTCCTTTTTACTTGGATATATTATCCTTATAATTTACCACTTAAGATATAATTCTATTGGCTTATCTTGATTCTGACTATCATAATACATATTAATCGCTTTCCAGCCATTTGCCTGCTCTCGTCTCTTCACGGGCATCTCCAACGGAACAAATGAGGCCTCTTCCTCCACTTCCATTGGCATTTCCACTTCACCCTTCCACGTCCCAGCCTCCACAGTTAAGTCTTCTCCTCGTCCTCTCGTCTGTACTCAGTCCCATACAAGTATTGATTTTCCTCTCACTCTCATTAATGGTTCGGATGTAACTTCACACACTGCAACTACCTCCACTGATTTCATCTCGCTTGGCCGGGCAGTTAATACCAAGGCCAATTCACTAGATCAGGCAATCATACCAAGCACCGGTGATGGACCATTCGTGACGAGGCACGTAGCTACCACATCTTCAAGCGTCAATTCCTCATTTAATGCTTCTGTTGCAGGACGAAGCAGTGGCTGCAGCTATGCTCAAGAAGTGAAGTACGGTTCAGGGGGAGTTGGGAGCTCCGGTATTAGCTTATCTTCCTGTGAGCTCTGCTTTTTTAATACACTTTTATTCTAAATTTATCCTTTTTTTGAAAGATTATTTCACGATGCCTTAAAATATCCCACAAACCATCAAGCCACATCATCAACACTTTTGCATATTCTTATTTTTAAAACTAGGGTTATCATATTTTATAATGATAATTCTTTTGTGTCTTGTTTATTTAAACAATCGTTACTTTGAGGTCTCATAACATTTAAAATATTTTTGATTGATTTTAATTATCATCATTGGTCTCATCGTATTTGTTTCTTAACTCATTAAATGAATATATATGCACCTGTCTCATATCAGATCCATTTCACTCAATATTTTTTTGCTGCTGCTCTCTGTATTCAATTAATTTTTTTGCATATCCCATCTTATGTCAATCTTAATGCTCTTAACAATCTATACAGTCTTTTCAGAAGTACTTATCTATTCCTAATTCTCGATAGCATATCTAATTGACTTAAATTCAATCCTGAAACATTTATCATAAACCATTATTATAACGTATTTCGAGATTGCTTTTTATCATTTTTGCAGTTTAAATTTAGCCTTAGAATTCAAATAAAACGGAGATTATCCTTTTTAAAATTTTTAAATAATTTATCTACTGGTGTTAGCTATAGGCTATTCATGACCTAATTCTACAATTGATTCTTTCTACCTTTTCAATTTTATTATTCCTATTTTCACGTTATTTTTAGGTATTGTTTTTTCCTTCCCAAATTTTCTATTTTAATTTAAATTATTACCTTATCAAAACTAAAAACAATTAATTTAATTAGGGTTGGTCTTAATCGTTATTTTTATTTTTTAGTCATTAACTTTTATTTCTTAAAACGGTACTTAATCACTACACATTATTCGCAGTTTACCTTGATATTTGATATTATCTTCTCCGTTTGCCTTCATCCTTCTTACTGACAGGCTTGTCTGCACCAAGCCTGGATGCGGACAGTCTGGTACGCCAGACTGCACGCGCTACTGTTTGGAATCGTGTGCTAGCCGCAGAGGCGGCGGCCGCCGCCCGCCGAGCTGCTGCAGAACAGGCTGAGCGGACGGCCCTTTTAACAGCAGCAGCCGCTGCGGCGACTGCAGCCAGCTCAGCTGCTGCCGGTGGTGGAATCTGTGGAGGCGCTTCTGTTGGTGGTTCTTGTTCATCACTACCACCGGGTACCCTAGCTCTTCAAGCTTCAACTTTCTTGTCATCTGGATTTGGCCATCAGGCATTCACACAAGCCATTGGATTTTCCCAACATCAATTGCATCTGGCTCTGCAGCAGCCGCAGCACCAGCTTATGGGATCTAGCATGGATTTGATGACACAACAACAAAATCACCATTTCCAGCAACAGCAACAATTACTTCGTCAGCATATCCAACTGGTATTACAATTATCCTTTAGATAAATTGATTTAGGCCTTTGAATTTTCATTATTTTTGCCTATTCTCGTCAATTTATCAAAATAAGAGATTGCTTTATGGAAGGATAATGATGTTTGAGGCGAAGGCCATCGGATTATGATCGTTTGCAGGTGTACTATTGTAAAACTTTCTATTTTCATATTTTAAGACATTACCGTTAAATTTTACTTGAAGTCTTTTAGAATCCATCAACAGCTTAAACCGAGTGATGATGGCAATTTTTAGTTTATTTATATTGTGTCACATGATCATCCCTAACACATTTTTCATGTCGGCTTTATTTGTTAGGTAATTTGTTGATAGAATCCTTTTCAAGCCAGTTACTATTAAATTATATTCTCTTTTCGAAGGTATGAAGGCCAAGATGGTGTGGCTTTTTGTGTGGTCGCAGTCTCCTTTCGTTGTATAGTGGTTGTTTGACCTTGTTTTCACAACTTGCTCATAGTGGTAGGAAGACTTAGAGAAACGCACCTAGTCCGGAGTCCATTATATGCATGATCATTTCCAAAGTTGGACCGTGGACGTGGTACATTGCCAGACGTTTCGCCGGCATCGTCAGTGAGTCTCGCCATTCTTAGCATCACAAAACAACTCGTCAAAGAGACAAGTGAAACCGATCCCTTGAACAAACCTGTGCTCAACGATTGTGGTATCTTCCCTTCTCTCCTGGGCTATTCATATTTCCTATATCGTGTTATCACGCCTTCACTGTTAAAATTTTTATCGTGGTTATTTCGATGAGCGTAATTCATAAAAACCTGTCACTCTCCACGCTGTCGTTTTCACTCCTTTACCCTTGTGTTGGGAATGTTGATCTGAGTCTGCGATATTGTTACGCAGTCTTCATTCCCTTAGGCCTTATCACAGTCTCTCCCTGGTTCACGTATTTCACTCGACCCCTGCCACCACATCTGTGCCAATCGTGGCGTTATTCGCCCTTCCCTGCGTCTGACTAATTCGAGGTTAAAAACGAGGTTAAATTCGAGGTTAAGTAAATCTTATGGTCACGCCTTTGCTATATGGACCACGTCTGGCAAAACCTACTGTCAGCCAACTAGATCCATGCTCCGCCGCGTCTATCCTGTCTCTATCCCTAATACCAAGTCTTTGACTTGCTTGCTTGTGTGCTAACTCACAAACGTTGCGGTTCAACATTGAACCTAATCAAAGCAAGCAGTACCACAACATTTGTGGGTTGGCACACAAGGGACTGGGGCTTAGGAAGTCATAGACTTGGTATTCGAGCAAGAAACATGATAGGCGCGGCGGAGACTGGAGCTAGTTGGCTGACAGTAGGTCTGTTGTACCATAGACGTGGTTCATGTAGCAAAGGCT